TTCACAGCAAAACACAAACCCTGAGTCCACACAGCTTCTAGGATACCACCCCAAGCTCAGGAATTGCGGATCCCAGAGGACTTGCCTGTCCGTTCTCTGCTGCTGCTTCTCCTGGTAGGGAGATTCCACTCTCTGCCACTGAATCCGCTCAATTTAACGGCGAGCCTAGCCAGTCTTGTGAACAGACTTGTTGTCAGGGCTGTTGTGTGCCTCTGAGTTGGAACTGACTCATAGCTGACCTCCAGTAGGTTTTCAGGGGCAGTTAATCACAAAGGAAGAGATTGTCTACTTTCCTGTGGAGCAGCTGGTGGATTTGAAGCACCTACCTTTGGGATTGCAGCACAGCTTCTTACCAGAGGCCACTAGTGCTCCCCGTGGGTAGACTAGCACGTCTATTTGCATGAAGAAGAACTGGCTCCAGCGGCTGTTGGTGATGTAGGTGGGCCAACGTGTCTGCAGGGCAGGCAGAGTCGAGGCTGCTGGAGAAGATTACAGACAATGGCCGACGGAAGCCACGTTTTTACAAGAGATCCACTGTGTTGCACTAGTGAGTAAACAGAATGCTTTTCCCCCTTTTAGTTAACAGAAAATAAAATGCTTTGCACTCAAAAGTGCTGAGCAATGTGAACTGACTTGTTTCCCCTATCCCAATCACCCCTCAATTTACTGCTAAATTAATAGTGATTAAAATACTAGTCAGCTGTGCTATCTTAATGCACCGTGTTGTTGCGTGCCTCCGAGTGAGATCCACAAATAGCTGACCCTCAGGTGAGTTTTCAGAGACAGTTAATCGCGTGGGAGGAGATTACTCAATCCTGTCCTGTAGAACAGCTGGTGGATTCGAACCAGGAGCCTTCAGGACTGCAGTACTATCTAACTAGCTATCATCTATGTTTTGGGCACTTTGCAAAGTTATCTTGGTTCCTCCCCCTCCCTTCTCTTCTCTTTTAACCCTCCAGGATTGAGTCTTCCTGCGTGGAAATGGTTTCTTGGGCTTTTAATATTAATTGGATTCTGGGGCTTTGTCTAACATACTTTGGACATGTTGTAAGGATGGACGGGTCCTTGGAGAGGGACATCATGCTTGGGAGGGTGGAGGGACAGCGCAGGAGGGGAAGGCCCTCTATGAGGTGGGTTGATTCAGTGACTGGGGTAATTGGGATGGGAGTGTTGGAGACAGTGCGCAGGGTTTAGGGCTGTTGTACATAGGGTTGCTATGAGTCATAAGCCACTCGACGGCACACAACAACCACAACAACAACAACAACAGTCATTTAATGTTTTTCTGTGACATTTGCCACCCAGCAAAAGTTGTTCTAACTTCCACCAAGCTGTGTGGTATTCCGCCAAATCTCAGCTGTTTTTAGAGATCATGATACTCCTTTACGTGACTGTACCACAGTTGATTTAGCCATTTGACCCTTTAGCCATTAGGCATGTGGCTTGTATCCACTCCTGGCCCCGACCCACCATTAACTACCACACACGTGTTTACAGAAGCAGACTCTGTTTTCTCTTCTCATCTTTCTCCCCCAAAGTGGCTGGTGGATGGCAACAGCCGACTTCTTCCTTCGCAGCCCACTGCTTAAAGCACTGCCTCACCACGCCTCCGGGTCCCACTTGGTCTCTTCAGTCCCTGCTCCTAAGCCTAAGGGTGTAAACAGCTTGAAAGGAGCTAGAACAAGGACCTAATGCACCCATGCCCTTTCTCACGAGGACTCTTCAAAGCCTCGGCCAAGGCCAGCCAGCCGACATGTGCCAGGACAGCAGTGGACCTCTAAAGACAAGCGGAGATGGCTTACTCCTTGGGCCCTCCATCAGACCTGAGTTCTCCGCATGCAAGCGGACACAGCCATGACACCAGACTCATTTCTTTGTTCCCTGGAGTATTGTTTATGAAATCTCATCCAATCTTACAAGGAAGATGTGGGGACCACTGAGGGATGCTACTTACTCAGTGAAGACTCTAAGACCTTGACCTAACCAGGGTTTTTATTCACAAAACCAGAAAGAGACCATGAACTTGAAATGAGGCCCATCTCATGCTCTATCCTGCTCCAGGGAGCAGTACCTCATGCCTGTCCACCACCAGTGACCATCCACAACTACTGGTGGCCATCATGGCTTCCTAGGTGGAGACGGCCGCTCCTTTCCAGCCTCCCCCTGATGCCCTAACCCCTGCCTGCTAATGCACAGAGACTTCCTGGCTCTCCCATGAGGGCTGCACGAGGCAGGCACTCTGGGGCCCCGGCTCTGCCTCCATTTCTCTGCACCCCCCGCCTCCCCCTGTCCCCAGGCAGGCTGTGGGCTCAGGTCCATTAGCCCCCATCCCCTGGGAAGTTTCTGCATTTATCCACGCTCCCTGCTATTACACCCCATCTCCCTACTATTACACCCCATGTGCCCCTTCCACTCCTCTGAGAGAGACATACAAAGATTCTCTGGTCCTGGAGACAGCTCAGGGGTAGAGAAGAAGTCCAGGGTAGCCTTGGCCGGGGAGCAGGAAGGACCCTGGCTGAAGTGTGCTGGCCCAGGAGGGAGAGTCTCTGACAGCTAACACCGTCCTGAGGACCAAGTGGCCTGGAGCAGTGGAGCACGGACACGGCCCTGAGGATGGGGGACAGGGAAGGTGAGTCCTCTGAGTCTCCGGTGGGTAGAGAACAGGTGGTCACAGCAGGTGCATTGTGGGCTTGGTAACGCAGGTGGAGGGCATCCCTCTTTCTTCTAGTCAAGTGCCTGACACACGTCCAGTCTTGGTTAGTTCTGGAGAGACCGGTGCAGGGTAAGGCCAGCAGGGTCCCAGGAATGGCCTTGTTTGAATTGCTTTTGGTCAAACATTCTGCTAAGTGGTATAGCACTGACCTGTCCAATTGCTGTACAGCAGTAACTTGTGGTTGCTGTGATGCTAAACACTGTGACCCTGATGTGTCTAATGCGATAATGGTTACCCATGGTGGACAGTGTTTGGTGGAGCTCCCCGATTAAAACAAGCTTGCAAGCAGGAGTGGCATCCACTTCCGAATCAGCTTGTCTCCAGAAACTCTATGAACCTGGAGAAAGGATGAAAATTATACAAGTGTTCAGGTCTTGTTCATAGGGTCTCTGAGTCATCTACAACTCGACAGCATTTAACAACAACAACAACAAACAACACTTTGAGATGGTGAATGTTAGTGTCATTTAGTGTCAACTCTGCTAGGGGACCTCATTAATGCCCCCTGTTCCCTGACATCTCCTTCCTCTATGACCCCTTGACAGCAACACTCATGCACTAGAATATGTGTTGAGTTTCCACCCCCCTCCTTAAGTTACAGAGCAGGAAGCGAGGTCCTTGTCAGCCCTCAAGGTAACCCATTCCCAGCATGAAGGAAGGGTCATCTTTTAGGTTTTCTCCCTCACCAAAGGCTCATGGGAAGAGTCAGGAATTTACCCAGAGGTGGGTGGGGAGTGATGGGGGAGCAAACATCAAGGTTTTTTACCTTTTGTCTGAGAGGTCTGTGCCAGCAGGTGGAAGGGCAGAGCTACAGGGCACCAGTGTGTCTGCCCTCTCTCAGTCTATCTGTCAGGCACACCAGAGATCTGCACAGATGTCAGTACTACGGGGTGTGGGCAAGTACACATGTACATGCCCTCTGATCCCTTGGGAAGGGCAAGTTCAAAGTGGAGCTGAGCTGTCCTTCAGAGCATTAAGCCTGGAAGGTCACTTAGTACTTCCTGAGGGTACCAAGGGTGTGTGTGGTTGACCGAGGGATGATTGACATCCGTGGCGCCCAATCCAGCCAGGTCTTCTGAGGCACCAGAGTAGCTGTGTGGCCTGGCCAGGGTCTGTGCATTTTCTATCAGGGATTCTCACTGCTGATGGTTTTATTTCTGTAGGACTCAGAAATCCTCTCTTCTCTAACCTTCCTTTCTTGGGACCAAAACTGAGTTCCTTCTCTGTTGTCAGTGAGAGGCCAGGAGGCTAAGAAGCGGCAAAGTCCTCTCACCTGCGTGGCCCAAATTCGCCTCCTCTTCTTCAGTCCAAATGCCCTGGCTGGGAACGCCCTCTCCCCCTTGGTCCTGCTCGGTGCCTCCTGCAGGCGACCTGCCCTGTGACTTTCCCTGTCCATTGAATCTTTTCCACTGCACACATGCTTTTGCTAATATTTTTTGATGTGTTATTCTACTGTCTGTACTTGAGGTCTAATTTTTTTAATTGATATTGTAATGAAAGTTTATAGAGAACTTGAATTTTCATTAATTCATTGATGCACATTTTCCTCCCTGTCCATCCAGTTTACTTTTCTCTTTGAGAAAAAAAATCCTTTCATTGTTCTCCAATCCCTCCTCCCACCCCCAGTCCACTTTACTATGCAGCTCTTATTCTGGACTGTTGTCATGTAAATAATATCTAATCATATTTAAAACAAAACACAAGGCTATTTAATGATTACAGAAGAAAAATTACTATCAATCAGCATTAAATGGAAACATTTGAGGAAAGCCCACTGTTCTTCAGGATTTGAGGAATAATAAAAAGAAAAAAAATAGAAGAGTACTTCTGGCATGATGAGGGTCTCGAGAACAATCTCACACCCGCCATGGTGGGGCTGGGGGCTGGGGGCTGAGCGCAGCCAGGCCTGTGGGAAGGTCATGGCCTTCTGCTCTCAAAGACCCTGGATGGAGAGACACACAGGCGGTAACACTGGGGCGGGTAGGTGCGCTAACAGCCTAGTTCACGCAGCTCGGACACTCAGGTGGGCCCACCTTCCCTCCTCAGGTGTGAGGTCGACTGTGAAAAACAGTGAGACTCCGGAGCCGACTCCACTGGCTACCGCGATGGGGGATCTGGACACGTCCAGTCTGGTTCTCGAGGTCCTGACCCTGCTCACCTGCGTGTGCGGGATGGTGGGCAACGCTGTGGTCATCTGGCTGCTGGGCTTCCGCGGGCAGAGGAACCCCTTCTCGGTCTACGTCCTGAACTGGCGGTGGCTGACTTCCTCTTCCTCCTGGGCCTGGCCATGATAACAAGCCGGGAGCTCATCACTCTGACGGGCCGGACAGGCCTCGTCGTCCATGTAGCGTTTTGCTTCCTCTACGTCACCAGTCTGGGCCTGCTGACTGTGATCAGCGTCCAGCGCTGCCTGTCTGTCCTCTTCCCCATCTGGTGCAAGGTCTGCAGGCCCCTGTCCACAGTGGTGTGCACCCTGCTCTGGGGGCTGGCCTTCCTGACCACCACACTCCTTTACTCCTTCTCTGGCGACAGATACAATTCTGAGTCTCTCTGGAAGGGCATTGAAAGACTATTTCCCTTTATTACTCTTCCCGTTGTGGGGATCTTCACACCCGTTATGATCCTCCTTGTCCAGACCCAGAGGAGACCCTCCCAGTGGTGCCAGCACTCGTCCAGGGTGTTTGTGATTGTCCTCGTCTCGGTCCTGGTGTTCATAGTCCGTTCTCTGCCCCTTGGCATCGTCTGGACCCTCCAGTCCTGGTCAGGCATCCGTGCTGACGATGTGGTTATAAACCTGACACGGTTCACCTCGTCCCTGAGCAGCAGTGCCAACCCCCTCATCCTCTTCCTGGTGGGCAGAGGGAGGGGCGGCAGCTTGCGGGCCCCCCTGAGGACTGTACTCAGCAGGGCCTGGCAGGAGGACTCGGAGTTGGGCAGCAAAGAGACGCCCTCCACAATTACTGAAGAGATGGGTCTGTGAGCCAGGCCCCTGTGGCTTCCTCCCAGACGGTCTTGACCGTGGATTAGCCTGCGAGGAGCTACGGCCAAGCCTGCACCTGTTGGGTGCCCTTGTGGACTGCTGCTGGGTGGCTTTGGATCTGCCACAGTATAGTCACTTCCCTGCTGTGACCACTAATGCCCACCTCCCCCAGGACATAGGCCCAGATATCTTCATTTGGCTCAACGTGGAGATGATTTTTTTGAGCGAAGCTCTTCTGGGTACCAGGACCAGTTTCTGTCAAGTCCACTGATTTGAGGAGACCCCTGAACATCAGAGGAGAATGATGCCCACAAGGCTTTCAGGGGGTGCTTGTTCACAAGCTGATCCTCAGACATTCTTTGCAGGGGCTTTGGGGATCAGCCGGAAATTCTATCCTTTTGGGGAGCAGTTGAAATGCATTAACAATTTGCACCCCATGTTCTGCTTAGAGAGGGCGGATCTCAGTTTTCGGCTCTGTTCCTCAGCGAACCCAGAGACAGGAAGTAAAGACTCTTCTTCCAAGACTAGCCTGCAAGATGCATCCTCCTGCGTAAACCCACTCAGCCTTGGGGGAGTGGAGCACCCCGAGCTTGTTCTCTGGGGGTCCTTCTGAGACAACTCCCATCTCCCCCAGAAAGATGGTGACTTCAGATCAGCCAAGACACAGAGCGAATACTTGGAAGGACGAGGACAGCCCACTGGTCATTGGTCACGTTACCCCATTGAGCACAGGCGAGTGGCCTGGGGGTGAGTGCTGTGGGCGGTGACAAGGACTCCTGGTCTTTAGATCCTGGTGGCTCTTGGAACGCACTATCTGGGGCTCTTCCCTGGGTGAGTGCTAAGCTCTCCTAATTTCCTGGGCTCCCTGCTTTCAGGGCTCATGTCCCAGATTGTGGACCCTGGGGGTCACACGGGGAGAGGGCTGTTTGTTGGTCAAGCATCTCAGGCATTTCTTGGAGCATCCAGGACGTGCATTTCTTTTTTTATAATTTCTTAATAAGTATTCATCCAATTAATAAGCATCCCTGACACCGTGTCCTGTCTTGTGACCCTAGGGCTAAGAGAGGTCCAACGTTCTGTCCAGGTCACACAGCAAGGGAATGAAAATTGGGAGGGTTCAACTGTTGTCATTTGACACTAAAGTTCGTGGACTGGAGAAATTGACAGTCCTTTACCTCAGGCAGTGACAAAGTGACCATCTGATGCAGAGCACTGGGGACAAGGGACACTTCTCAGGAGGGAGAAGTGAGAAGAGCTCACCACAGGCCCCTCACACACACAGAAGGAGAGGAGTCTTGGATTCTCTTCACACAGGTACGTGGAAATACAATTTACAAAATGATGGTCACCGTCTACTTTTATGTCAACCTTGTCTCTTTCCACCTTCATTCTGGGGGAATTGACAAGATCATGGATTTTGGGAGACCCTGCACAGGAGAAAAGGAGCTGGGAAAGTTCTGTAACTGGGGCCCATTTCTACTGCTAACACTCACTTCCTGGACGGTTAGGCTTATGCTAGTGACCTAACTATGGGGTGGACATGTGCCTCCAGCGTTGTTGCTGCTACACCTGGGCTCCGTGCACCTGCCCGCTGGGAAAGCACAGGGCTGGAGGCTGTCACTAGATGGCTCCATGCCCTCAGTCCCAGGGTGCTTGACGCTGTGAGTGCATGGACAGCGCACTTGGGGCCAAGAGCGAGTTCACAATTCTGTTCTTTAGTTCTCAGAAGTGTAAATTGTGGACAATTCAGCGTAATGCAGACAAGCTCTTACCTCCTAGGAATGTAGTAGGGCATGCAGCGTGTAGTGTAAAAAACAAAATAAAATAAGGGATTTAAAAATTTTTTATGGAAACATGCAAAACATAGCCTATCAGCCTTTTTGTTTGTAGACCTAATTCTGGAGTTGACAAGAAACGGGAAAAATGGCTCCATAAAATTTGCAGGATTTACCTTCTACAAGTATTTTCAGTGAATTCATTGAACAGGACCCCACTAGACTGCTTATTATTCACCTAACAGTAAATATAGCCAAATTGAATCTTACGGTGATGTGAACACTACATACGCATAAAAGTGCAGAAAATTATTGTAAACACAGTCAAGTAATAAAAATATGTTGTTGTTAAGTGCCATCGAGTCGCAGGTGATGCATAGCAACCCTATGAACGAAAGTCCTGGACACTTCCTGTATAACTCTCGTCTTTCTCCAGGTTCAGAGGGTTTCCAGAGGCAAGCTATTGTGGAAGTGGATGCCACTCCTGCTTCCAAGCTTGTTTCAACCAGGGAGCTCCACCAAACACTGTCCACCATGGGTAACCATTCTCACATTTAACTCATCAGTGTCACAGTGTTCGGCTTCACAGCAACCATGAGTTACCTCTGTACAGCAAGTGGACAGACCAGGGCTATAAGACCTAGAAGAATGTTTCACCAAAACCAATGAAAGGCAGGCTGAGGGCCGCGGAGTAGAGTCACACACCTTTGGCTTGGGAGCATGGCTTTTTGTCTGCTAGGCCAACTGCTCTCTCTTTTGATGCATTGTTAATATTTTGTAAAGTTAATGGTATCTGTTACTTTGCTAAAATATAGCATGTCTTTTGTTTTATTAGTCTAGGTAAGTATTCATTGTGTAAATTACTTTTGGATTTACAGTTTTACTTTTCCTTGAAGAAGACTCTCTATAGTGACTAAATTTTGACTCCACTGCTCAGGGACCGGCCTGGAGTGACCACACTCCGGACACTGGAGAGTATGGAGCACTGGACCTTTCCTGGTGACCGACTATGACGCTTCTCTTAGTTACTGGAAGAGAAAATGCTCTGAACTTAAACATGCTGTGCAGTGTGAGAGCTCACTCTGTTGTTGTTTTTAAATATTTGGTGTCGATGTGCCTTTTCCTAATGAGAATATTTACTTTTTCCTCAAACCCAACTCCCTCAATTTATAGCAAAACAGTAAAGATGAAAATACTATGGTGGTGTACTTATTCTATTAAAAAAGATGTATATGATGTCCATCTGTAATATTGTGCTCTGATGACCTAGTGGCAAGAAGCTGGGCTGCAATCCCAAAGGCACACGGTTCAAGGCCAACAGCTGTCCATGAGAGAAGGATGGGCAATCTCCTCCTACGTGATTAACTGCTTCTGAAAACTCACTGGAGGGTCGGCTATGGGTTGGTTCCTACTTTCTGGTACACTGTAACAATGTCCATCTTATCTATGATGAATTTGTTATATGTTATGGCCATTGTTATGTGCAGCTGTGTTGCTTGTGACTCATAAAGATCCCGTGCACAACAGCTCTGAACCCAGCTCTATCTTGAGCCAACCTCATTGTCTCTGACACACCTTTACCCACTACCCAGTCACTGAGTCAATCCATCTCATTCAGGGTCTTCCCCTCCTGCACTGTCCCTCCACCCTCCCAAGCACTATGTCCCTCTTCAAGGAACGGTCCCTCCTTACAACATGCCCAAAGTATGTCAGACAGAGCTTCAGAATCCCTGCCTCCAAAAAGCAGCTAGGATTCACCCTCTCCAGGACAGATCTGTTTGTTCTCTTAGCAGTCCATGGTACATATTCAATACTCTTCTCTAACACCACAACTCAAAGGCACTGATTCTCTTTCTGTCATCCTGCGTCATTGTCCAGCTGTCTGATGCATAGCAAGTAATAGCAAATACTATGACCCGGAATAGGCGCACCTTAGTCTCTAGACTGACATTATTGCTCCTATCCCCTAATACTGGCCCACCTCCCTTGATTCTCATTTCTGTTAACTCTTCAAGATTGATTCTTTCTGGTTGTAAATAATTTCTTCATTTTTTATGTCAATCGTCTTTTACTGCAACTGTCCTTTTATGACTGACTTGTGTCACTCAGCATAATTTCATTCTAATTTTCTCTGTGTTCTGCAGTATTTTGTTAATTCTTGATTATTTTTTAGTGATACTTAAAAAAAAATACTTTATTGTGTGAATGTACCACCATTTCTTTAGCCACTTGTCCACTGACGGGTGCTTGCGTTGTTTCCAACTCTTTTACTATTACAAATAGTGAATTAAATGCTGCAATAAACATAGGCTTTGGTCCTGTTTCTGAGTTGTGCTTTGTAAATTCTTGTAAAAAGTGCTGAAGTGCAAGTGTTGTTTGTGAGTTCTGTGTGGCCATAGCAACAGAATATCAAACCAGCTAGAGAAGTAGGGAGTGCGTTGGGAGGGTGACTGGTGTCAGAGTGATATAGTGTAACTCCACCTCAGATGAGTCAGGTTTGGGGTGTTCCTAGGACACATACAAAGGAATCTAAGTGATTTCTGACAATATCCCAGTTATTTCACACACACACACACACACACACACACACACACACACACACATCTATATATATTGTTGTTGTTGTTGTTATCTGCTGTCGAGTCACCTGCGACTCATAGTGACCCTTTGTACAGCAGCTCTGAAGGCTGCCCTGTCCTAAGCCAGTATCGCTGACTCTGACACACCTACCCTCATTGCCCCGGTTACTGTAATCAATTCATCTCATCTGGGGTCTTCCTCTCCTGTGCTGTCCTTCCACCTTTCAAGTATGATGTCCTTCTCCAATCAATGCTCAGTTCCTCCTGGCCACATGCCCCAAATATGTGAGATGGAGCTTCAAAATCTTAGCCTCCAAGGAGCAACTTGGTTTCACCCTCTCGAGGACAGACCTAATTGTTTTCTTGGCCGTTCACGGTATGTTCAAGACTCTTCTCCAGCACCACAACTCAAAGGCACCAATTCTTGTTCCGCCATCCTTAGTCATTGTCCAGCTCTCTGAAGTATAGCAAGTAATTGCAAAGATCTTGGTAAACAAGCTTCCAGTATTCTCTGCTTTCAGACGAGATGCATCTGACATTGTCAGGCTATCCTCATCACATGTTCTTATCCAGATCTGGTGGTTTAGTGGTAAGGAGCTGCACTGCCAGCCCTGAGGTACGTGGTTCCACTCCCCCAGAGGCTCTG